TCTTTCTGGTTTTCTAAGGAGCAATACTTGGTACTTAGATAGTGGTGATGGATAAGCAACTTAAGTATCTTTCTTTTTAAAAAACTAAAAAGTTGTGAAATTTTTATTGATATGGTCAACACGAAAGCAGTGAGTGTTGATCGGTAAATACCTAAATATTTTTCTTGAAGAATAGTTATTTTAACGAGCAATTTTGGCACGAACATTCTAATAATATTTTTTGTGGTGTGTTGTGTAGGTACGACTATTCTGGTTATGGACAATCTTCCGGAAAGGTACATATATACATACTTATAAGAATAATAGGAAATTTTGAAAGTTTAATCGTCATTTTTTCTCAATTTAATATTGATTAATCTTCGAGAAACCTTCTAGTGACTCGGTTTTTAATAATGTGTATATATATTTTTTGTGTGAATAAATAAGAAGTTATTGTTTTGGGTTGCTAGGCAAGTGAACAAGAGACGTACGCAGACATAGAAGCAGCGCAGAAATGTTTAGTTGAGAAATACGGCGTGAGAGAAGAGGAGACGATTCTGTACGGACAGTCGGTGGGAAGTGGGCCGACGGTGGAGCTGGCGACGCGGCTGCCGGCGGCGAGGGCCGTCGTCCTCCACAGCCCCATCCTCTCCGGCCTCCGCGTCCTCTACCCTCCTCTCAACAAAACCTTCTGGTTTGACATTTTCAAGGTTCTTTTCTTTCCTTACATGCCCTCCCTTTTCCCCATATTTACACACCATCCCATCCTTTCATTTACTTGCGCAAATCCAACTTTTCTAATTTTAAAACCTCCATTTTTATCTACGTGCATTTGAAGGACTAATTTGGTTCGTTTTAACCCGGTTCTCAATATTGGTCCATCTACCATTTAAAATAGCGATAATTTTAGTCTCTATTTATAAAATTTTAATACAAATAATTTTATCTCATTACAAAAACTCTTTAGTATAAAGTAATAGTTACCTTCTAAGAAATATATTTGACTGCCATGCTAGAATTGTGACAGGAAACATGAAATTGAAAATAAAATTAATGGATCAAGATGATCACTTTTTAAAAAGTACAGAAACTAAAACGGACATTTTGAAACTAAATTGAACTAAAATTTAAAAATATATAGATCAAAATGAACACTTTTGAAAGTAAAAAACCAAAACGAAACAATACTAACACAGTACAATTATCAAAATAGTATTTTACGAGAAAAAGATAAAAGTAAATGACTACCATCGTTATTTTTAAAAAGTAAAAGTATTAAATTGGATAAATAGTAATCAAAATAGTATTTATCCCTAAAAAGTATAACTTTTTGTTTTCTTGTTGTTGCAGAACATTGACAAAATCCCACTTATTGATTGCCCAGTTCTAGTGATTCATGTGAGTTATTGTTTATTCTTTTTGGTAGAAACTAAATTATCAACAATAAATATATGTTGATCAAAACAAGACCAATTCCAATTTGTTTTTTTTTTCCTTTTTTTTGTTTGTGTATTGAAATTTTGTTTAGGGAACTGAAGATGAAGTTGTGGATTGTTCCCATGGAAAGCAGCTGTGGGAGCTTTGCAAAGACAAGTATGAACCCTTATGGCTCAAAGGAGGACACCACTGTGACTTGGAACTTTTCCCCCAATACTTGAAACATCTCCGCAAGTTCATATCCGCTGTAGAGAAACTACGTCGTCCCAATAATAATGTTACCGAACAAGTCAATGCACAGCAACCCGATGGGGGGGCTATGGATTATAACCATACGGCTGATGATGACAAGCCGAGACAAAACAACAATAATGTACGTTTGCCAAGGACTAGGTTGAGCTCTGATAGTAGAGAGAAATCGAGACCAAGCATTGACAAGCTCAAGGAGAAGTCGAGGAAGAGCACCGATCGGTTACTAAAGGCGAGGAACAGCACGGATCAATCAGAGAGAGCACGGAACAGCTTCGATCGGTAATTAAGTCCCAACATCTTTCTTCAATTGGCTTATATTTACCATATGTTTTGCATATAATATCTGCTTAAGTTTTTGAGTTTAGTGGTAATTTAATTTAGACAATATGATATTGACAGCTTGGGAGATATAGTAAGGTCCGTTGGATTGTGCAATGTCGATTGTTTGAAGCACCCGGCCGCAGAAGCGTGAGACCGAAAATGCAAATGGATTTCTTGTTGGATTTGTGTATATATTTCTATTAGATTTTGGCTGTATGTTTTTTGGATCAATTCAAAGGCAGCAGCTGGTTAAATATTTAGAATATGGCTAAGTTTCTGCTAAATAAACAGCATGTATAAATCATCATTATTTGATCCACCCTTTTCAATCCTAAGAATGATCATGTATTGAAAATGTCAAGTGAGAAGTTAAGAATCCATTTAATACTGTGTAATTTAAGTTAACATTGTTTAACTTAAAAAAAAAATCTCACGATGACAGTCTACTCTCTATATATTTTTTGACACAATCTATTGTAAGGTCGGATAGTTTTTTTTTGTGAAATTAGTTAAATTACGCGCAAATTAGTCTAAAATGAAATATTAAAAAAAAAATTCTTCTCTTCTCTCTCTAACATGCATAACCCCACATACTCCCTCTCCTACATGCATGATCCACTATTTTCATTATCTCTCCTCTCTCTTACATGCAATATCCCTACATAATAATATGATTAATAATGACAATGTGATGATTTTAAAAATTAATTAATTATGTTAATGGTTGATTTAGTAAGTTTAAGTCAAAATAAGCGTACTTAAAAAAGACATTTACTCGATTTAAATATATAATTGGCAACTTTGTAATTATTTGCTATTTTTCTAAATTTTATCTTTTAAATTGCTATATCTAATCTATCACCCTTCGAAATAACACCTAAATATAATAACAATTTATTTTCTTCATCACTTTTGGTGAAGAAGGTCCGTAACTCAACTAATTGGAATCAATAAAATCTATCCAAACTAAATTATCTATTTATTTTCTCATTCTAAACTTTGGAAAGCTTAACCGAGCTACAATTTTGTACTTCAAAACAACTTTACAAACTCGATTTAGTTGATTTTGTTGGGGTGGTTTTTTTTACATTAAATATAATTTCAACTTGCACTTAAACGAACATAACTCAACGGTAATTGACATATACCTATAACCACGATGATGTGAGTTAGAATTTCATCCCCAACATATTGTACTAAAAAAAACTTGCACTCAGACAAATTGCACATATGATGTTTCAAAAATCAATGAGTTTCTCGAGCACCTACCAAAGTTTGACTTTTTTTTTTCTTTGCTAAGTTTTAATTTTCTTCCAAAGAAAATGGTAGACACCAAGTTTGGACCAGTGAATTTAATTTGTTTTTATTATACTTAATGGTGGTAGACACCAAGTTTGGGCCAGTGAATTTAATTTGTTTTTAATTACAATTAATGGCTAAAGGTAGAAAAATCTTTTTAAATAATAATTAAATTTTTCTAAAATAAAGATTAAAATATTATTTTGATTATTCTCAGTTTTAATTCATTTTGATGACTGTACTTTCTAATTTATTTTAGTTCATGTACTTTCAAAATATATAGTTTTTTTGTTCCTATACTTCTAAAAAGTGATTATATCAATCTCTCAATTTTATTGTTAATCTTAATTTTTCTATCGCAATTCTAACATGGCACCACAGTCCAGTCAATATATTTTTTAAAATAGAATGATTACTTTATACTGAATGATTTTTATTAAAAATTTTATATATAGAGACTAAAATACCTTTTTTCTAGTATAGAGATTAAAATTAATATTTTAAAAATACTGGGACAAAATGAACAAGTTAAAACTTAAAAGTATTTTAACCTAAAATAAAAATAAAGCCCAAGCCCAATTTATTTTAAACCTAACTTGCCATTTATGAAAAAAGGGGAAAGCCAATCGCAGCCTGCCGATCTAGTTATTTTGTACAGATTAAAATAATTAGACAGACAAACTGAAAATGTTGTCCAAATTTTCGCAATCCCAAATAGATTAATTGTTGAATTAAGCACTCAAAAATCAAAATTGAAGAAGAATAAGCAAAAAGGACTGCCTCCACGGAAGCAGAAGACCCACTTTCCAGATCTCTCAGTTTGTCTCGGATTCAATACCAATACCCATTCCTTCCCATCGACTGCTGATGTTCAAGGTTTGACCTCTCTTTTTCGTATTTTTTTACCCTTTCCTATGGAATTTTTTCAGAATTATTAATCTCTATGCTTTGAATTTCGATCAATGGCACTACTCCCACCTGTGTTTTGGGCCCTATTGTTGTTTTTTAATCTCCGGGTTTGTTCTCTAGTTGTTTGTGAAGCTCTATGGTGGTTGACTTTTCATGGGTTTTGTTGATTCATGATGGTTTTTGCAGTTTTGGGATATACCCATTTCATAATTTTACAGGATTTTGAAGTCAATGCTCAATTGTCTTGATTTTTCTCTTGTCGATGAGTCCTTGTTTGTGTTTTCAATGTCACCATTTGTTTCGTTTGCTCATCTGTGATCAATCAGTCTAGTGAATTGTCATGTCATTTTTCTGAAGAATTAAGAGTTTCGTCTAATTCTGAGATCGCTTTTGTTATTTGATTATTTGTTTCTGCATTCTGACTTTGATGGTGAAGGCTGTACATGAAATGTGCTGTTTGAGTCTAAAGTCGTAAATTCGCATTCACAATAGCTTAGATCTTTAACAATTATGGAGAGACTCTGAATTGTGAAGGAGTGTTTGGTATGTTCCTTTTCTCTTTATTCTCTCACCTTTAATGATATGAACCGAGGAACCGAGCCTAGACTCCAAGATCATCTGTTTAATTTTGATATTGCTACATTCCATACCGTTGCATCTATTCACTTCTTTTGCCATCCTGTTTGGAGACCGACTCATTTGAAATAACAAGCTTGCTTGGGAATTGAGGTCCATATTTGTAGAAGAAAGCTACATTCTAAAGCAAAACCCCACACGATTATGTTCCATATCAACATTTTTCTAAATCGCCACACTTTTCGGGTGCAGACACAGCCTCCTACAGGTTGCCTTTTGTGACACAACCTTGGAATATGATTGTGGCTTCCGTACCAAGATCACTTCACCTAATATTTAAGTTAAGTTAAATATTAAAACTCTCCTTTTACGACACATGGTGAAGGAGAGTTTTAATATTTAAGTTAAGTGTGGGATGAGGTACTTATTTTGTAAGAAAACTAACTGAATGCTTCGTCTCAAATCAAAGTGCTTTGGATATGTTTTTAGAATTTCTCAAACTATTTAGGATTATCAAAAAATTTTACAAAGTACTTTTAATTGGTTAGAAGTACTCTTTAAAATTTTGACCAAAACGCTACCACATTTTTTTTCTTAAAAACATTTTTAGTCCTCCATGGGCACTTTAAAAGATATGCCAAACACTTACTTAAAACTTCAGCAAATATTGTAGAATAGGTGCCATTCTGTAACCAAGACTGTATCAAAGATATTGTTTTTTCCATCATATATCTAGTTCCTTGTTCCTTGTTCTTTTCAATCTGAATCTCATTGATTTCTTAGCTATCGAATGATGTGAACTCCCTTCTTCATTCTTTTTCTTGGCAGTGAAAAGAACTTCTGCGGGAATCAAACTTTTTCTCTCAAGTTATATACACTGTGAAAATGGTCGATCACACTGTTTCTGGCGCTCGTATCTGAAAGACAAACAGAAAAGTTTGATGGATTATTTGTGGTTTTCCATGCTACTTTAATTCAGAAAGCTCACCCTATAATGAATTTTGGAAGTCCCTGATTTGGATCTCACAAGTAGCTACTATGATTGGGAGGAAGAACAATGCACAGGCTTCCCCACTATTTCTGGTTCTCTTGGCTCTTGCTTTTTTCTTTGTTACTTATAATTTGGTGACAGCTATTATTCAGTATGGATCTGTGGGAAAGGAAGTTGGAGATAATGCATACAATCGATTATTGACTGACCCCATCATTGAGATGCCAGAGAATGTGAAAAAAAAGAAGTCAAAGTCACCTTTCCATGTTGCTTTGACAGCGACTGACGCTGCTTACAGCAAATGGCAATGTCGTATTATGTATTACTGGTACAAGCATAAGAAAAATTTGCCTGACTCTGAGATGGGAGGGTTCACTCGTATTTTACACTCGGGAAAACCCGATAACCTGATGGATGAGATTCCTACTATGGTGGTGGATCCTCTTCCAGCTGGTATGGACCGGGTGAGGTTTCCGATCACTCCAAAATGTCCCCAATCTTCCTTTCTTGTGAAATGTAATTTCTTGTTTTCAAATGATTAGGATTCTTTTCATTCTTCATAAAATTGCCAATTTTGTTCTCAGGGCTACATCGTCTTGAACAGACCGTGGGCCTTTGTGCAGTGGCTGGAAAAGGCTGCAATAGAGGAAGAGTGAGGATTTTATGTAAAATCATTGAAGAATAGAACTTTTCATAGATATTACTGTTTGAACTCTTGAGCATCTAATTATAGTTGATATATATATATTTTTTTGGTTGCAGATATATATTAATGGCAGAACCAGATCATATATTTGTTAATCCGCTTCCTAATTTATCCGATGGTGGTTATCCAGCTGCCTTTCCATTCTTTTACATCAAACCTGATCAAAATGAAAAAGTTTTGAGAAAGTTTTTCCCTGAGGAATATGGCCCCGTAACAAATATCGATCCAATTGGCAACTCTCCTGTAATTATCAAGAAGGTGATTAAGATTAACACACTTTGCTGGGCATAATTGTTTCCTGCATAACTCTTACTGGATTTGTCAATTTACAGCTTTTACTCTTATATTAAGAAATCTTACTGTATTTAGATCATGATCACATTATGATTTTTTTAACATGTCATTTCTTATTATTTTGCCATATTTTTCACATTATTCCTCTGTTGTCATTCCTGAGAACTGTAATCCCTCAACAGAAAGTTCTTTTCTTTTTTCTGACTCGATCTTTATTGTTGGATGCCCCAAATGGGTCTATTATCAGGAATTGCTGGAAAAGATTGCTCCTACATGGATGAATGTTTCATTGAAGATGAAGGAGGATCCAGAGACGGATAAAGTTTTCGGATGGGTGCTAGAAATGTAAGTTATGGGAAACAAGAAACATTTGTCTTCCATATTAGGCCACTCTAGAAATTTCAGAATCAGTAGTGAAATGTCTTCTGAAGCTTCATTTTTCCTAAGGTATGCTTATGCAGTTGCTTCGGCTTTGCACGGCGTCCAGCATGTTCTTCGGAAAGATTTTATGCTGCAGGTATGGCATCCATTGATTCTGAAGTTTGATGTTACTTTAGTTTATTGAATTAAATGAATGATAGCCACTTCTACATATTGAAACCAATCTTGAGATTTTTTTTCCTTTCTTAGCCACCATGGGACTTGGACATTGGTAAAAAGTTCATTATCCATTATACTTATGGATGTGACTACAACTTAAAGGTGAAGTTCCTTTGCCTTTGTCTTTGTTCATTCTTTTCATTTTTTGGAGTTAGAATGCACATGTTTATACTATTACTTGTTTATCGACTCTTTTACATTATTAGGGGGAGTTGACTTATGGTAAAATCGGTGAATGGAGATTTGACAAGAGATCGCATTTACGTGGACCTCCGCCGAAAAACATACCTTTACCCCCTCCCGGGGTTCCTGAAAGCGTGGTATGTTGTCTTTATCTTTATCTTTTATCTATTGCCATCTTCCATTTTGAAGGGAAGATTCTACATGATTTATTTGCATTTGAAATCTCACATATCTCCACTTTCATCTGTCTATGCACAATTTTTCTTAAATACGAATACTAAAAATTTTTCTATCGGAGACTCTTTCAACGTTTTCCGATTTGATTCGAACTTCATTTTTGTCCTTGGCCCCATGGGATGTAGATCTTGTTGTTGGACTTTGACTATGCTTGGCCACAAATGACATGGTCCAATTACTTGAATCCTGAGTTGCTGATTCAGTATAATCCCTTGGATCTCATTATCTCTATAGACAGTTCAACATAATCGAACACGTTTTACTGTTGTTTTTGTTGACCTTTCAGCAACTCGAATCACTTTGGACCGACAGATTAGTAAATATATTGACCAATAATAACTAGGGGAAAGAACCAAGTAGAAGCCATGTTGAGAATAGTTTAATTTAGACTAGGAGAGTGCATAAATTTGAGAAACTGAACCGAACCGTGCACATCCCGTATTGCAGGCTCCTGCAACGTCTGATTTTCAAAATACCGAACGCTACTTTCATATATGGATTATAGTCTTTATGTTATCGTAATTTTCTCTCAGCTTTTTTTTTTCTTTCTTTTTCATGGCAGGTAACCCTGGTAAAGATGGTGAATGAAGCAACTGCAAACCTTCCCAACTGGGAGACAACATAGTTTATATAAATGTCATATTTCAGATGTTTCAAAGTTATGCCTTTCTTTCTCTTCATTGTTTCATATTAATATAACATCTCATAAATCTCAGTATAGACAGATCACAGCTTAGTTTTGAACTTTTTTTTTTTTTTTTTGAGGATTTTTAGAAAGGGGGGAATAGTTGCTTCAATTCAACCATGATTTTTGTTATAGAAACCAATTTAATCAATTTCTCAGTTGTTGTTTCTCTTGTTTGAAACTGTTTTTAAAAGTTCTTTTTGGGTGAAATATATATTTGTGGGGCAAGTTGGAGATTGAAAAGATGAACCAAACCAATTGAACTGAGTCGACTTAGTTGTTTTGATAATTAATCGTTTTGTTAAGTTTGATTTCTTCTACTCTTGAACTTGAACAATATTTTTGTTCGTTTAGTTTGGGTTAAATGTTAAATCGATTGGGTTGGTTGATGGATCTAAGACGATTTTTAGAATGGTAAAAACTATTTTTAGCGAATTAGAAACACTTCTTAAAATTCTCATAATATTTACTTAGATAATTGAAATAATTTTAAATATTTTAAAACCACTTAAAAGTTCTTTTAAGAAAAATACTTAATTGGTGTTTCATTTAAAAGCTATTCTAATAAGTTAGTGTCTTATTATATAAATATATATACATATAAACTTACTATTAGTTAATTTTGATTCACTGGTTTATTCGACTTTTAACAAATTAGTCTCAAATTCAATGGTTGGTCTAGAAATTTTTGTTCATCAGACTTTTTTTTTTCTTATCATATGATGAAATTAAAGAAAAAATGTATTTTAGACACATTGTCGACTTTCTTAAGACTCAAGAAAATTTAAAAACAAATGAATCTAAAAAACTTATTTCATATAAGTAAACTTAATATAAAATTTTGGTTAAAAAAGTCATATTATTTACTATATAATATAAATATTTCTAAGGTGAAGGTTTGACTCACAAACAAAAACACTCAAACTCAAATTCCGACCAAAATCAAAGTCAACTTTCAAAATCAAGAATTTGGATTAAAGAAAAATTCAAACTTATAAAATCAAGAATTTATCATATTTTGTCCCCATTTTGTACGTGTGTGGGTGCAGACAAAGCAAAATTTCAACAAACAAAACAATTATTGAATTTGAAACACTCAATCATTATTCAATTACCACAATTCACCCACAATCTCTAAATTAATTTTTCTTTAATATGATCTTTTGACTTTGAAAGTTAAAGATACTCAAATTTCCAATAACAAAAATATATAAAAAATAAATAATAATAAAAAATTTTCTATGGATGTTTGACTCTGGGTATTTATAAGGCTAAGTTTGTATAATTTGGGTTAAAAACACTTGTGCAACTTGTGTTTAAATTATTCAAATATTATATATATATATATATATATATATATATATATATTTTAACCTAAAAGTCAACTTTATATTAGATTATATGAGTTTGTTTATTTCTGTCATCTAGGATATAAGATTGTTAATTTCAGGGTGTTTTTTTTATTAATAATGTTAATAATAAAAGTTATTTTAAAAATATTGTATTTCAATTAAAAATATTTAAAATATGGTATGTTTTGAAACTTTTTTTTAAAATATAGTAGTTTTAAAAAAGTGGAGGGTGGTCTCTAGACGACCATCCAACATGGTCGTCCATGCAACGTGGCACCACGCTGGACGCCACGTAAATTTGTTTTAAATTTAGGAGGTGGTCGTCTCTTCAAGGGACGACCATGAAGAGACGACCATCCGGTCGGTTCATTTTTTGAAAAAAAAAATAAAATTGATTATATTATATATTATTTAGTAGTTTAAATGTAAAAAACTGCTTAGTGGTGCAGGTGTACGGTTATCCTAATAACACTTCCATCCTAAGTTCAAATTCTGTGTAACCTAAGATTCGAAGTCGGGATGGAAGAAATATTAGGGTAGTAGTACATCCACTACAAGCTGTTTTTTAAAAATACAATATTTTTAAAATAAGTTTCAAAACCTACAATATTTTTAATTAAACAACAATATTTTTAGAATAAGTTTCATTTGGAACAATATTGTCGCAACGTCATCGCGACGCGGAGCGGCCGACGTCATCCCCTGAAGGGTCTCTTTCGAGATAAGGGTTTGGAGTCGCCACCAATCATATACGAGGTGTGATTGGTCACCTATTTTAAAAACTTAGTCTACGAAAAACAGATTTTGGTTCGGGAGTCGACTGAGCGTAGGGAAGATGTTAGCACCCTACGACACCCGTTCGAAAACGGTACCACATTTTATCATAAATTATCCTATTATTTTATTTGGTCCAAGAAAAAAAATATTTTTGTTTTGATCGAAATGTCCCATGTTATATTAATTCACACTTTGTTATAAGATATGAATTAATATGTATGAGTGACACGAAGGCCACTAGAAAAATTAAGCACCTCGAGTAAATTGGAGGGTTCCAATTCCCGTCATCGAAGTTTTTGAAATAATTATTTAGCAAAAAAAAAATTTTAATTTTAAGGAACGTCAAAACTTGAACTTACGACATGAGTGTTGACATTAAAACATCACACCAATGTGCCACCACTTTGAGATATAAGTTATTTTCCTTTTCAAAATACATATTTTGTATTTTTGAATTTTGTTTTTAAAAAAAAACTCTAAATGAAATCTTTTATTTAAAATAATTATTTAGTAAAAATGAGACATGCAAAGACTCGAACTTAGGTCATGCACATTATAAAACGAACATTTACCACTGTGCCAACATCTTAAGATGTAAACATCATATTCTTTTACACAAACAAAAGTTTTAATTTATTTTTTTAAACTAAAAAAAACGAATTTTGTTAAATTAAAACAAAAAAAAAATCTTTTATTAATTACGAAAAAAACAAAAAAATTTAAAAGAAAAAAAAATTTATTTAAAAACAAAGTCAAATTTACTTTAACAAAACTTATTTGCTAGAAAACTGATTTTTTGTTAAGATTTTTTCAAAACCATAACCACCAAACCATTAAAAGAATTTTAAATGAGATTTTAATCTAAAATACTCTGTTTTTATCTCCTCCTTTAAAATCCTGCAGCAGAAGATTCTTTTTTAATTAAAAAATAAAACAAAGGTAACACAAAAATTATAAACCTTGCAAAAAAAAAAATCATTTTAAATAAAAAGAATCCCAAATTTAAAAGAATCCAAATTTTTTTACAAGATTTATTTTATAAAACACCGTTATTGGTCCGGCTAATTTTTTTATTTATTATTTTATTTTTAAATATCTTCATTAAAAAAGATTACTTTATTATTTTTTATAAGCTAAAGTTTTAATTTAATTTTTTTTAAAAAAAGTTTTCTTTTAAAAATTTTGATTTTATTAATAAAATTACAAATTAAAAAATAAAGATTTTATTTTTGTTATTAACAGTTTTTTTTCCCTCCCTTTGATTTTTTCTTGGTCAAGTTTCTACAGGTGTCATTCCTTCCTTTTTTTTTCTCTCTGGTTTTACTTAACTCACGCATGTTACTGTTATTTTATTTATGTATTTAAGGGACACATAGAGACACACAGAAAGACAGTGCAGATAGTTAGAAACCCATCACCATATCTTCTTCTCTCCATCTCTCTTATCCCACCATCACCACTTTTCTCTTGCATACCCACGACCTCCGACGACGCAAGGAAACGACGCGAACGACAGCAGCAACAACCTTCTTCTTCACAGTTTCTTCCAAGCCCGCTGGCACTCCGACTATCTCCGTGCATTTTAAGTAAGTATCAAATACGTTGGAAAGAGAAAAGCTTTGGAAATCATGTTTTTTTTTTTACTTTTTTTAAAAAGAAAATGTTTTTAGTAAGGAAAAAATCTTCTAAATTAATTTTAAATTAGTTTTTGAAAATAAAATAAGGATTTTGATATTTTAAAATTTGTTTTAAAATAAAAGGTTTTCTTTTTCTAATATGTATTTTGAAAAGGAAAATAACTTATATCTCAAAGTGGTGGCACATTGGTGTGATGTTTTAATGTCAACACTCATGTCGTAAGTTCAAGTTTTGACGTTCCTTAAAATTAAAATTATTTTTTTTTGCTAAATAATTATTTCAAAAACTTCGATGACGGGAATTGGAACCCTCCAATTTACTCGAGGTGCTTAATTTTTCTAGTGGCCTTCGTGTCACTCATACATATTAATTTATATCTTATAACAAAGTGTGAATTAATATAACATGGGACATTTCGATCAAAACAAAAATATTTTTTTTCTTGGACCAAATAAAATAATAGGATAATTTATGATAAAATGTGGTACCGTTTTCGAACGGGTGTCGTAGGGTGCTAACACCTTCCCTACGCTCAGTCGACTCCCGAACCAAAATCTGTTTTTC